TTAATGCATTAGAAATTAATTAATTGGACCAATTTTAAAAGTTAAACATTTTATATATTACTTAGCTTATTTTTTAAATTGAATTTATTGGGGTGACACCGGTTAACAAAATTACATAGGTTTCAGGTGCACAATTCCGCAACACATCATCTGTACACAGTATTGTGTGTTCACCATCTCAAGTTTCCGACCATCACCATTTATCTTCCATAGAATAAGGGATCTTTTATTTTTGTTATGCTATATTGTCTATTAAGACAATGGGCAATACATTTCCTTATTGCAGAAAAGTGTTCTTTTTTATTTTTTTGCTCCTTCTAAAATTAAAAATTTAAGAAATGAAGCCCAATAACATTTGCAATTACTAAAGAACAAAGGTAAAATCCAAGAAAATCAATTTTAAAAATAAAAAAAAATTGATTAAAGATGACTTACTGCCATCACCTAACAGAACAGGGGTTGGCAAACTTTTTCTGCAAAGGGGCAAGATGGCAAATATTTTAGACCTTGCAGGCTATACCAGTTTGGTTGCAACTACTCAGCTCTGCTTTTATAGCTAGCGGCAATATATAAATGAATCAGTGTGGCTATGTTCAAATAAAATTTCATTTATGGAAACCGAAACTTGATTTCAAATAATTTTCATGTGTCACAAAATATTCTCCTTTTGATTTTCCCCCTACTCATTTAAAAATGCAAAATCTATTCATTAGCTCACAAACCATACAAAAAAGATGACAGATTGGATTTGGTATATAGGCCATCATTTGCCAACCCCTGTGATAGATTAAGAATTTCTTGAGGATAGGAACCTGCCTTATTCATTTTTAACTTTAGTAACCTGTATCGCACTGGATACATATTAAGAATTAAAAATACCAAACTCATCTGATGAATGAATGAGTGGATGGAAACTAATGTGTATGCTACACTTTTACTTAACTCTTAATTTATTATCAAAACAATACATCAGTATTCAACCCTTTATTTTGGTGTGGCCTATTACTCTAAAAGTGATGAAAGTTATTTTTACCCTGTAAATATTGAGTAGCTTAATATTTTCTAATTTATCATAATACATTAAACATTTCTTTGTAAGTATATAGATCTTTTAATGCTTCTTAATCTTTTATTCTCTTCTCAAATTTATGTCTAAAGAGCCTGCACTTCACCTCACTTATATGTCCTTAATTATACTTCTATTTTCTAAAAATAATAAAACATTCTTTATGTAATAATACCTATTTTGGAAATATGTAATTTTAAAGAGATAATGGGATACAAAGAGATAATTTTGTATATCAATGAATTCTTATATTCCATAGAATATTATAATGACTAGCATTTCACCAATGACAACGGATTATCCATCCTTTTTATAAGATCAGAGAAAATGTAATTTATTTTTTTAAAATAAAGCTTTTCATATCAAAATAAAACCAAAAAGTTGAATAGTTTATGCTATTATATGTTAGGTTTGATAGTATATCATGTTTAGAGGCATAGAATGAGCCAGCAAGGCATGTAGAAACAAGTTCACAATTTAGAAATATCAATTGATTGCATTCTTTCTATAAAATATGTATATAAGATATACTTTTCTAAACTTGCTATTCCTTTTTTAAAAATATACCTCAGAAGAAATCTAAATCTATTAAACTTTTCATTTTCTCTAAGATTCATACTTATTGATAAGAACTTTAGAATGCTTTATTTCATTCTTTCAATTTGTTATTATACCCTTCACTTTTTTCTAACAACACACACATCTCACATACAATCATCTGTTCTGGTTGTAGAACAAAGTAATTATTGAAAATTACTCGCTGTAAAATATTAGTCCCTGAAGGGAGAAGTTTTATGTTATTTAACCTTTATCATTAATATTTGTGTTTTCTATCAATAACTTCTGAATCTACTTAACAATATTTGCAACTAGTTATATATAGATAAATGTGGTCTAGAAATAGTTTCCTCTCTTTTTAGGCATAGTTATGTAAAACAAACAAGTTAGAAACAAATAACTGTATTATTATAGGCCCCAAATTATATTTCTGGATTGCTAACTAATATTTCAGTGTTATTTTTAAATATTATAAAAACTGCAACTATTAAGAGTATCATGCAGTGGTTCTCAACCTTCCTAATGTCGTGGCCCTTTAATACAGTTCATGTTGTGGTGACCCCCAACCATAAAATTATTTTCGTTGCTACTTAATTTTGTAATAACTGTAATTAATAACTGTAATTTTGCTACTGTTATGAATCGTCATGTAAATATCTGATATGCAGATAAGACATATTTATGTATATTTTAAAAACCATAATATAATTTTAGGTGTTTTGCTATAGGCATAGATGACTATAAGAATATAAGAGTACCTCTAACTGAAAAACTTCACTTAAGAATAAAGAACTCAATTTCTGATATAATGAAACTACAAGCTTATGGAAAGAGAGAAGACTCTTGTCAACCAACAGTACCCAAAAATAGGAATGGGGGATATTACGATATTAGAATGGTAGAAATGCAAGATTTCTGATTTATATGGAGATAGAAAAGGTAAAATGTGAAGCTTACTATATCAAAACTAAAAATAATTTAATAGGATTGTGATCATTTCAAGGATATACTTTAAATCTAGAATAAGACTTTTGGTAGGTTTATACAAAATTACTATCAAATTTGCCCACTTGGTAGTTATGTAGTAACTAATAAAAAAATATTTACCCCTTATAAGTTAATCATTACATAGCTAGTCCTAAAATACTGGCATACTTTTCATTGAATACTCACAGGTACCCTGGTGAGTACTTTTATATTCCTAATTTTCCTAAGCACAGAGCAGTTTAATGACTAGTTTATAGTCACCTTGCTAGTAAATAGCAGAGCCAGAATTCACAGGTTTGAATTTTCAACCTAGCATTTTGGTATTGCCTTGAAGCTCCACAGTATACAAAATACTAAACTTTGTGATGTAAATTATTTCCCCACAATTGAAAATAATGTTGTTATCTGGTTATAAATTAATTCCTGATAATTGTTAATACTTTTCTGATATAAAAATAATACCATGAAAATATCAAACTACCACACAAAAAATGGCAATATATAAACCTAATTTCATTTCCTTCAAACACTTACATAACACCTAACTCCAAAAATCTATGTCTTCACATACATAGGCAATTTTCTTATAAATCAGGGGTGGGGAATGTCTGGCCCTTGGGCTGTATAAGGTCCGAGAAATCATTTGGTTTGGCACTGCCAAGGCATTAGGGGTGAGTTAATTAAGTGCTTGAGCAAATATAGCAGGCTAATTTTTAAGCTGATAATTTTGTATGGACTGCAAATGATGTTATAAGTATCCAAATGGCCCTTGGCAGAATAAAGGTTCCCCACTCCTATTATAAGCAAAACAAAACACAAACACATCTCTAAAGGAGATGACGTCCCTCAATTGTACTTTTTAAGTTAGCCTCAGAGTTTATTTTTTTAAAAAAAATATTTTTTTGATTTTTTTACAGAGAGGAAGGGGAAGGGATAGAGAATTAGAAGCACTGATGCGAGAGAGAAACATCGATCAGCTGCCTCCTGCACACCCCCTACTGGGGATGTGCCTGCAACCAAGGTACATGCATGCCTTGACCGGAATTGAACCTGGGACCCTTCAGTCGGCAGGCCAACACTCTAGCCACTGAGCCAAACTGGTTAGGGCTAGCCTCACAGTTTAAAAAAAAAAAAATGTAAATTTTTTTTTAATGTAAAACATGTCAAAGAACCATTTCCCTTAGGACCCAGAGTCTAAATAAATTATGTAAGGTTGGCTTCTTTTTTAAGCAGTTGGTTAATTTCTCAATTTAACATGATTCTGATTTAAGGCAAGACCATTTTATTTATAAGCCTACTTATAATATTATTCAAAGAATTTCTGTGTCATGATTTTTATCTACATAGAATAGAAACTATTTTACAACTTGTTTAAAAATTTGTATTTTCATATGGAACAGTGGTTCTCAAAGCCTGAAGTATGGTCTATGGGTCAGTGACATCAGCATCACCTGGGGCCTTGTTAAAAATACCAAATCTCAGCACCCACTGCAGACTTTACTGAATCAGAAAATCTGTGTGTGGGGCCCAGCAATCCGTTTTGTGGTGCAGGCTAAAGTATGAAAAACAGGACAGGAATTATTTAATAGGTGCAGAGAAAAAGCATCTTGCTGATAATAAGAAAGTAGATACAATAGTGTACTGATTTGAAAAATAGAAGGACATAATTAACATTAACTTGAAATTCAGCCAAGAAATACTTTTTTTGGGAAGTAAAGAAAACAATGTCACAAGTGGTAATGTAAATTTGCTTAAGACTCTGAAAGTGACACCTGGTTTATGGCTTCCTCATAAAAAAGATTTTTTTCCCCCTGTATCAATGAGCACTGCCTACTCTTCATTCTTTCATGATTTTTGTGGCATAAAGCCTAGATATTAATTCTGTTTATGATTTATTAAATTCATTTAAAGTTATGGAATATACAACCCTTTCTCACCAAAAGAACTATAAAATTGGTATAAATATTCTATTACAACCATTCTACTGTGCTTTGAGGCCAGTGACAAGGGTATCTCAAACAAACAGAATTCAGATACAGTTTGAATTATATTAAGAAAGCACACCAGATGCCACGCTGAGTCAGAGTTCTGTTATCACCTCCTTTGGGAACATGCCTGAAGTTCAGCTGATACCACAGACCACTGAAGAAATGCAGGATTTACCTTCTGGACCAGCTCAATCTTCCTCATATTATATAATTTCTAGTTTAAGTCCAAAGAAAAAAGCCAAGAAATATTTTTTACATAATTCTTCCTCAGCAAGTTTTTCATTCTTAGCACCACAAATCTCTTGTTCTGCCTAACAGAATTACAAAAATAATATTAAAAATATTTAAAATAACATGAATAGTTTACTCCTTGAATCTGAGAAAAGCATATTCTATCTCACCTCTGGAGTGACATCTCGTGGTGCAAACCCTGTTCCTCCAGTTGTTAGTATCAAATTAAGTTCCTTTTCATCACACCAATCTATCAGGGTTTCCTGAAAGAAAACAGTAATAATGTCACATGCAGAAGGATGTGCCTGTCTGCTTGAAACACACATGTACTCAAATACATTATGTATAGTGAGGAAAAACAGATTATTATCAACATAAAAATTTTGAAGCACAATTCATAGAACAATTTCACTGTTGCTCAAAACACACTGCATTTTGAGTGTTTATTTTACTCACAAAAATGAGGATGAAATTCTTTAAAGTAAATGAAATACATTTACTTTCAATGAAATACCATAAAAGTTTATAAATTAATATTTGTTATGTATTCACGTGGCATACCTAAGTTCTTTACAGCCATTCAAAATATATTCAGGTTAAAAAAATTGAGTACTGCGTATGTGTCATTTATATGATCTCATTACTAAAAAACCACACCAATCCTTCCAGGTAAATATGCATACTTCAATTTCATATTTAAAGAAACAGACTCATTCATTTTTTTTTTCTTTAATGGTTTCTGAGAGATAAAGAAACTAATTTGATCATGGGCTCATAAACTAGAAGGAGAAAGAACTAGGATTCAAACTAGATCTGTGGGATCCTCAATATATGTTCCCTACTTTCCAGCTGTGATTATGTCAATATTTTCTACTAAGTTCCAAGTTGTTTAGGGAAGTTTTATCATTTTATCAGGAATTATTTTACATGATTTCCTTAAAAGAAAGGTGTAGGAATAAATGATTGCTTAAAGTTTTTCCCCTCCACACTACTTAAAAATCCTAGAATTACAGAATTATACACCATAAAATTCTGGAGTTGGTAGGGACCTTAGGGGATTTGCCTCTTCATTTTCTAGATAAGACAAGTGAAGTACAAAAGTGGTTAAATAATTTACTCAAAGTTATCTAGCTAGTTTGTAAAGAAGAGGAACTATGATCTATTGTCAGCTTACACTATTGGTAATTCTACTCATCCATTCTACATTGTAATTATATTTTAAAAACAATTATTATATACATATTATATCATTATTTTTTTATAATTCCAGTCCAAAATGTAATAATACAATTATATTATTTAATTGCTGATAACGAGGTGTAAAACACTAGTAACAGGTTAATACCTAGATGTAAAACATAATATCCACTGTTCTCAAATTCATCAGTAGCATAAAATGCAGGATAATTAGTTAGAAGGAAATTTGGGGTCTAAAAATGATTTTTTCCCTATCTTTGAATATTTATATTTCATCATAGTATCACAGGAATGGAGAGCCCAAAGCTCCAAATGAACGGGATTTCCCCCCTGCTATTATTTATTAATGACAATAAACTATTTTTAAAATATATAAATTATAGACTACTGAGAGCCCAACTGAAAAACTTCCATTCCTGATGTAGTTATAATTTTGTTCTGAGGAAAGCTCACACACAAAATCAATGAGCATTATAATAAAAGTTATCACAAGGTGGTTCACAAACCAAACCTAAAATTTACATTGACTTGTGCTTCTATATTTAAAGTAAAAAAATATAAATACTCATGATTCTAAGTAGTTATTATTTCTAGTCCACACAAAAATAAGTTGATGTCACAATTCAGAAATGAGATTAATTGACCTTGTTTTCCCACTAATGGATCCCAGAACACTTTAAATTTCCTGTTAACATTCCAAAGTTCCCCTATCAGTACTGGAGTGCCATGCCAGAGCATCCTCATCTCTGACCACATTCCATTTACATCAGCTCTTGATAAAAAATGATATCAAAGTTACACCTACAAAATATCCCAAGTACACACAAAATCTATATCAAATACCAAATTTCAGTATTGTCAATACCAAAAGGGCATTCAAACTTTCCTAAATTCAAAATGCTACTAATATAGTTAAAATAGTCCTTTTATACTAAAGAGTTCTACTGTTTGGTAACAGGCAATACTCTCTTATAACATAATTCATCCAGTGATTAAGTAAACATTTACTGAGTATCTATACCATGTTTTAGGTGTTAAAAGTTAAAGAAATAAGTGAAAGATTGATCCTGGTTTCAAAGGGCTCATAGTCAAGTAATGGTTCTCACCTTGATTATATACTAGAATTATCTAGGGAACTTGAACCGGCATCAGTGGTTCCCATCTTTGGTACAACCTGGGCATTAGAATTTTTAAAAGCTTCCCAAGTTTTACTTAAATGCAGCCAAGCAATTGAGAATTACTAAGGAGATAAATTAGTTCAGTTACCTGAAAGTGAATTTCAGTTTACTCAACTGGTTGTCATACAGCTTAAGTTAGGTTGCACCTTAGAAATACTACTTGTTTTTCTATTCTCAGGATGAATAACTGGTAACACCTACTGTAAAGACTCCTTTCATTTACATAATATTTGATACTGTTTTCTGTGTTTAAGAGTTGTTGCTGCCTTTTTTTTTTTCTTAATCCCTTTACCTTTTCACCCAGCCATGCAACCTTCCTCCACAAGAGGGTAAATGGGAGATACATGGTGATGGAAGGAGACTTGACTTGGGGTGGTAAACACACAATACAATGTATAGATGATGTATCAAAGAATTCTACACCTAAAATCTATATAGTTTTGTTAACCAATGTCACCTGAAAGAATTCAGTAAAAAATAAAAATTTAAAAAATAAATAATATTTGATATCTTGAGCTCAAAGGATTAAGGATTATTTAAGTAGTCATATAATTATTTAACAAGAAAATATTTCTGGGCATTCTTTCACTCAGGTACTTTATTAGATAACAGGAAATAAAGATGAATAAGGCACAGTCCTTTGTTTAAAGTCAAGAAGAGGAGCTCTGGGTCCATGGCTGTCTTAGACCTTTGATACTAAAAGTATTACCTAAAGACCAACGACGTTGTATAATCAGGGAACTTGTTAGAAATATAGAATCTCTATGTCTGCTTTTGAAAAGTGTCTATTTAGGTCCTTTGCTCTTTTTTTTTTATTTTTATTGGGTTGTTTATCTTCCTTTTGTTAAGTTGTATGAGTTTCCTGTAAATTTTGGAGATTAAACCCTTATCGGAGATAGCATTGGTAAATATGCAGTGGGCAAGGATTCTCCTATGCAGTGGGCAAGGATTTTGTCTTGACAGAGCAGCAGTCCTTCAAGAAAGTATTCTCTCGCCGAAACCGGTTTGGCTCAGTGGATAGAGCGTCGACCTGCGGACTGAAGGGTCCCGGGTTCAATTCCGGTCAAGGGCATGTACCTGGGTTGCGGGCACGTCCCCAGTAGGGGATGTGCAGGAGGCAGCTGATCGATGTTTCTCTCTGGTTTTTACTCCAGATGAATTTTTGGAGAGTTTGCTCTAGGTCTTTGAAATATGTTGTTGGTATTTTAATGGGGATTGCAGTGAATCTATAGATTGCTTTGAGTAGTATGGACATTTTAATTTTGTTGATTCTACCAGTCCATAAACACGGTATATTCTTCCATTTGTTTATGTCTTCCTCTATCTCTTTTTTCAGTGTCCTGGAATTTTATGAGTACAGGTCCTTTACCTCCTTTGTTAAATTTATTTCTAGGTATCTTAATTTTTTGTTGCAATGGTAAATGGGATTTTTTTTTTTTTTTAGTTTTTCTTTCTGTGAGTTCATTATTGGTGTATAAAAAAGCCATAGATTTCTGGGTGTTAATTTTGTATCCTGCTACATTGCCGAATTCATGTATTAAATCTAGTTTTTTGATGGCCAAAAGACATATGAAAACATGCTCAAAGTTACTAATCAGCCAAGACATGCAAATCAAAACAACAATGAGGTACCATCTCACACCTGTCAGAGTGGCTTTCATCCACAATCAACAAATGACAAGTGATGGAGAAGATGTGGAGAAAAAGGAACCCTTGTGCCCTGCTGGTGGCAATACAGACTGGCACAGCCACTGTGAAGAACAGTATGGTGTTTCCTCAAGAAACCTGTGGTACATCTACACAATGGAATTCTATGCTGCTGTAAAAAAGAAGGAACTTTGACCATTTGTAACAGCATGGATGGAACTAGAGGGCATTATGCTAAGTGAAATAAGCCAGTCAGAGAAACATAAATATCACATGATGTTACTCATTTGTGGAATATAACGAACAACATAAACTGATGAACAAAGATCGAACCAGAAACACAGAAGCATCGAACAGACTGTACAACCTATGAAGAAAGGCAGGGGGGTGAGGGAGTAAGAGGTCAACCAAAGGACTTGTATGCATACATGAGTAAAACCAACTGACACAGACACCAGGGGGGTGACGGCTTGTGTTTGGGGATTATGGTGGCAAGGGAGAGGTCAATGGGGGAAAAAGGAGACTCATGTAATACTTTAAATAGTAAAGAATTAAAATAAGAAATATTACCATACTTGTGCTAATAAGAATAGAACTAAATCTTGAATATAAAGAATATCCCAGGATTATTCAAATGGCATCATTTCTACAGATAAATAGACGAAATTCAGAATAACCATAAAATAAAAAAAGAAATACAGACCCTCAGGTCCCATCCCAAACCTAATGAATCAGAATCTGCATTTTTAGAAAGACTCTTCAAGGTAACATATTTACACATTAAACTGGACTAATTATGCTTTCTGCTCTAAGTGGTTTGGCTCAATGGATAGAGCATTAGCCTGTGGACTGAAGAATCCCCGGGTTCGATTCCAGTCAAGGGCATGTACCTTGGTTGCGAGCACATCCCCAGTAGGGGCTGTGCAGGAGGCAGCTGATCGATGTTTCTCTCTCACCGATCTTTCTAACTATCCCTCTCCTTTCCTCTCTGCAATAAATAAATAAAATATATTTTAAAAAAATATACTTTCTATATAACATGAAGAAAATGAATCTATTTTTCTATGGCATTAGGTAACCTGAAAGCAATTTATCTTAACATACTATTTATTTCAGCACCTATAAGATACCTTTCATTCTGAGATACATCTTAATATCTGGCTGCCTCTACCAGATAGTATGTCATTAAGAATTCTACATGAGCCACCGTTATGAACAATTGCTCTGCATCTATTGCAAAA